TGTAGGTGAGAACTCCTCCGGAGCCCCGAGGATTCTCCGCGATCCAGGACGCCTTCGCTTCGGCGAAGCTAGAAGCCGCCGCCACCGCTGCAACTTGAAGTTAATTGTGAGTTTTACTTGTAAGCAGACGAACCAACTTTGGAAGCTTGCTTTTTATTTTTGACTTTACTTTAACTTGGATAATAAGTTTCTCCCCGTATGTGTGTTGGAATGAGGAAAAGTGAAATTAAAATGGCGATGGATTGATACTTTTCAGCAAGAAGTGAAAGTGATTTCCGGTTTGAAACTTTTGCTACTTTGAATCTGCGTACTTTTTGTTCTGGTTGAACTGCTTAAATTTACTGCTAATATGGTTCTGAGAAAAATTGTGCCTTTAACTTTGAGACCGATTACATCCCTGAGGTCTCAGACATCTCAACTAACTTCTGAAATTTTCCACTTGCCTCCCCCGTTATCTTTTTCACCTCCATCGCCCCTTGCCAGAGAGCTGCAGAACTTGGTTTCCGCAATGACTGAGATGTTTCAATCGTTTGATGTTAAATTTCAAAATAGATGTGATCAAGTGATGCTACAACAACAGGACTTATTACAACAACAAGATTTTTGCTTGAATGCTACAATTGCTTCTCAAGACCTGGTTGAACAAGTGGATGCGGTGGTAGTTGATGAAAGCTATCCACACCCTGAAGGGGCCATATTAGAACCTTACATTGACTTTTTAAAAACGAACAAAATTGTGGAACAAGGAATAATAGAAGAGAGACTGAGTAACCCTGAACAGGCCTTTATATATCAAGACATACAATTTGAGGACTCAGAGCAACCTAATTGTGAATTTATACTGGGAGTTAATGTGGAAACTATCAAGCAAACTAATTTCATACAAAGCTACTTGGATAATTTTGATGACCAACAATTAATTGTAATTGACTCATTTCAACTGCTAAAAACAACAAAGATTGATATCCAGATCAATATTCAGATGACATTGGCAGAAAGGGAAGAAAATTTTGCTCAGTTTGAAGTGATTAAGTTTTGTAACCAAATCTTGAGGTTTGATAATCGAAACGCTCTAATATGGGAATTAACTTGGTATAGAAAGAAAGCTAGAGTCAGATATAAATATGACATTAAATTTTATCTGATGGGTTAAAATGTCTTAAAGGTGTTTTTTTTGATTTAATAATGAAGGAAGACTATTATAAATATGATAATGTTGTAATAACTGAATTTGTTTGATTTAATTATGAATGGATGGGAATTAAGGTCCTAAAGGTTCTTTTTTTTGATTTAATAATGGTTGAAGGAGGTGGACTTATTGTTAATGTTACATTTGATAAACAATTGAATGATAATTAAGTAATTGAAGTTGTAAACCTTATTAAGGGNTTTTTTTTTATTTAATAATGGTTGAAGGAGGTGGACTTATTGTTAATGTTATATTTGATAAACAATTGAATGATAATTAAGTAATTGAAGTTGTAAACCTTATTAAGGGTTCAAAATGATTTTTTATAGGTGTAGTTTGATGAAATGATAGAATTTACTTGTTAACTTTATGGAAGATGGGAATTTTTTCTTTTTTTTTCTTTTTGTATAAGTAAGGGATGGTGTTAAACTATCTTGCTGAAATGGTAAAGATTTTGGGTATTTGAAGAATTAATTAAATGAATAATTTTTATTAATACGGAGGAGATGGATTGTTTAAGTTTAGAGTTTGGAGTTAGAGATATTAATATTTGTTTGCTTGTATTTGAATATTTGCCTAGGTTTGGTTTGGGAAGTCTGGGGGGCGGGGGGATGGGATATAACATTGTGTAATATCTGTGATGTATTTTTTTTTCTATGATGAAAACAATAAAAATTTTATAATTGAAAAAAAAAAAAAAAAAAAAAGATCTGACTAAAACCAGAATTTCAATGCCCTTGAATGTGTGGGGACAAAGCAAAAGTATCAGCATTTTTCTCCTGTGCATTTCCAGAGACTCGTGGAGAAGATAAAGCAGTCATTTAGATTTATTTTGACATACTTGTCAAGATCAAGTCTCAATCACAGCATAGCAAAAGGAGGAGCTGGAAACAATGCCAAATAAAACAAAACCCAATTGCAGGTTTCTTATGTGGCAATTTCTAGATGTTTACTTCTGGAGAACATTTATGATAGCCAAGTAATAGGTGAATTGGCAGATGTTACAAGTACTGGCTGTTATTTATCATTTTCAAACACCCTTTTGTGCATCATACATTTGTACCCATGTCTATTTACCTTTTAGCTCAGGAGCCATATACAGCCTTCCAGCCCCAACTCCTGAACAAGTTGCTGAATCCAGGCAGTGCAATTAGGTAAGCCCCAAAACATCTATTTTACTAAAATTCATTAAAACATCCCAATGCTTCCAAAAATGAGGCACAGACTTCCATCCCCCATCCTTCATCAATCCAGCCTGCTCCTGGTTAAAAGATCTGGGCAACCAAAAAGAAAAAAGGCATCTCCCAAACATAAAACAATTACTTTCTGCAGTGGATGGGGAAAACAAAGAACAAAAAAGGCAAGATAATTGTTGCATTACCCTGGACTGAATGCAGACTTGGTGTTCTAAAAATAGGCCCATTGAAATTGGAGAGATACAGGTTAATCATGTCCAACTTAAGTCTATTAATTTCAATAAATTTACTCTAGATATTATTAAGTCTGGATCCAACACGGTACTGGGGGTTAGCAAGACATTCACAATGAAGCTATCCAATTTTCCAGATAGCCATATTCCAGAGAATGTGTTCATTTTGAGCTGTTTGGCTTTTCTGATGGAAGAGCAGAAAATCATCTGTGCACCAACCAGCAATGGAGAAAAAAAAAGACAAAAAGCTATTGATGATATATAACCCAACAGGAATTGTTCAAAAGGGAAGATTCAACCAGGCACAAGAGAATCCTACAATGGTCACCGCAGCATTTTACTGATGGGAGTTGCATATGTGAGAAGAAAAACTGATTCCCATGTTTCCATTCCATGTTTCACAGAAGACTGCCTTTTTTTTCCCTTAGGGACACCTCCTTCACTTTCCCTCTCACGGTCCTTCCTCAATAATTCTCCTTTTGCTAAGATCATCAAAGATGATATTCTTATCCCACCTAACTTTTATTTATGCTTAATCATTTAACGTAGTTTGTGATGACACTGTTTGGTAAAGAATCTGTCCCCATTGAAAAAATAAGCTTCTGACATCTTTACTCACAGGGATCTAGTTTCCTAAATCAGGCAAAGTAACCTAGGTAATAATCTACTGCCTAGCAACCAAGAATAAATACATGCCTTGGTACTTAGATACATGCTGTTAAGAGAATTCTGTATTATACTAACTGAGCATTAACAGTAACAATAATTTTGCAGGAGATTAAAATATTCTAGCACCCAATGTTGTCTATTATGCATGGAAACAGGTAAAGGAGTCACTGCAGATTTTACTCCGCTAGTCGTTGCCGAATCTAGGGGGCGATGCTCATCTCCGTTTCAAGGCCACTGAGTCAGCACTCTCCAAAGACATTTCTATGGTCATCTGGCCAGGTGGTACGTTTTTATCTACTGACATTTGCTTTTGAACTGGGCAGGAGCTGGGGCAGGAACGGGAGCTCATCCCATTGCGTGGTGCTCAGATCTCAAACCCGAGCTGCCAGCTTTCCAGCTGACGAGCCCAGTGCCTTTAACCTCTGAGCTACTGAGCCACCCATCCATACAGGCCTAATTGTAAAATAACTGTCTTCAGATAAGCTACAGCTGAGTGGAAGAATGCTATTCTGCTTGGCAAGGGTGCTTCATTTAATCCCCAACAACTTATGATAAAAGGATTTTAGGTCAGATGATAGAGGAGACCTCTGTCTGAAATTCTTGAATATTACTGGCTTATCACAATAACATGGACCATTAAATGATCACAACACCCAATCTTATATAAGACATCTTCCTGCAATGGTATTTTACAGAGATTTTACTGGAAAGCAATGGCTGCATGTCACTGATTATCTTATGTTGTTTGTTTATATTCTTTCTCAATCTCAGCCATTTTAAATATGTTCAATTCAATCCCCAGACCTGACCAGCCAGTGAGAGCTCACACATCTTAAAGTTGTGAAACAGTATCTTTTAATGTTCTTTGATGAACAGATTGGAGGATAAAGGGTTTAATATTTAATGTTTACACTAGATTCTCTTACTTCTTCCCACTGCAGAACCATCATGCTATATTGGGCACAGTTCAGCAATGCCCAGTTTTTAGAATTTGCAATGTCAAGAAAGCAGGTACAAAACAAGGTGGAAAGCAAGAAGACTCTTTGAAAGAAATGTGACTTCGTTCATTCTAATTAAGCAAATTACAACAGGTATGAATTTGTTCTGTAAAAGAACAGAAACTGAAGTTATCATACCAAGGAAAATGAAAAGCTTACCAGTAATATATTTTGATCAGTGCTGAAGGCCACAGGAAAAAGGACGCCACAAAAGCCAAAATGGGAATAGCCAAAGTGCCTCCAGCTATTACAAACATGTTTAACACATCAAGATCCATCTTGCCTTCTTCACAGTTCTGCTTTCTTCACCTGCATGGATAAAAGAAGTAGAAATATAAGTCTCAAAGTAGCCAAGCAACAAATGCCTGAAGACAAAGCTGTAGAACAGATATTGTACAGGATCTCAGACAACAGAGCTAACCTATCTGTTCTCTTTTTCAAATGTTCCAGGATAACAGTATTTTCCTTGAGTTAAATTTCAGAACCAAAAATAAAGGAGATGACTGAGTAAAGGGGGACATCTACAAGGAAATGTTTATAGGAGAGATAGTACGACCAATGGGCACTCAATCACAAAATCAACCTGGACAGAGGGTAATCTGAAATCCATATTGATTTGACTTTGGAGGCAGGATTCAACAGAATCCAAAGCACAACTAATGAAGAGACTACGAGACTACCCTAAAAAAATTAGTCCTGCAAACCACCAAATAAAACATTAAATTATTCAAGTTTGGTTTACTTATATCTGTTCAATTACTAATTAAAGAACATACAATAGTTGGCTAAGTTCTATTTCTGATTTACATCTACCCAATGAATTTCAATGCACAGCAAACTCTAAAAACTATTAGTGCAATATTGACCACAGATCATTTGCAAAACACACTAATTTACTCTTTCAGACCACCATCTCTGAGTTATTAAATATGCTAAAGAAGCCTGTCTCTAACCTAAGATCCCATAATACAGTGGTGGCGAACCTATGGCACGCGTGCCAGAGGCGGCACTCGGAGCCCTCTCTGTGGGCACACAGAGAAGTGTAGAAGCTACCCAAAGTATTTCCCCCCTGTGGAGAGAGGGAAGGGAAATTCTATCCCACCCTCTAAAAACAGCGGCGACTGACTATCCAGGGGAGTTTAAAATGCTGAAAGAGTAACCTGATTCTAACTGAATTTCTATCTTTCTAAAATTTGAGGACTAAAAGATTTCTTACTCTTATTGAAGATTTGGGTTTTTACTTACAAAAAAGAAGTAAAATTGGAAAAAGGATTATAAAAATTTTGGACTTAAAAATAATAATTTTAAAAGGTATGGGCGACATCTTGTGGCTAAACCTGATATTACAACTTGTTATTGCCTAAAAGCTCTTAGGGGAAGCCTGGAACCCCCACAGAGCGTGTCCCCGGGTAGCGGATTTGGGGCCCTACCCATTATGGCTTTTATGCTGTAATGGCGGGTTGGAGGGAATCAAATACCTCCTGTGGACCAACAGGCCTGGTGAGTGGCAGCTGGCTCCCCAGTATCGATTGAAGGCGGAGACCATATTGTTTGGAACGGATTCAGAAGACCAGCACACGGTGTGGTGGCAGCCACTTGAACAGCATGTGCACAGCGGTGCAGAAAGCAAAGGAAAGACTACTACACTATATATTTCCCAGGGAAATCATGTTAATGGTGGCAAAACCTAACAATGGCCCCGAGTACGGGCGCCCCTTAAATGGGGCAGGGGTGCTAAGAATCTCCCAGTCTGCTAGAAGCATGATAAACCCAAAATTATGAATTGGTACATGGAATCTGAGAAGCCTATATGAAGCTGGGAAAACACACAATACTATCCAAGAAATGTCCAAATACAATATCTCTATATTGGGAGTGAGTGAAATGCGCTGGCCTGAAAATGGAATGTGTAGAATAGTAAATTATACTATCTACTACTCTAGTAAGAATAGCAAACACCATCGAAATGAAGTAGCTATAATCGTAAACAAACGTGTAAATAAATGCATCAAGTCCTTTATTCCTGTATCCGATAGAGTGATAACGATCCAAATAAATAGTACTCCAGTAAATATGAATGTTATACAAGTTTACGCTCCCACAGCTGACAGCGATGAGGAGGATTTAGAGAAGTTTTACGAAGACATAAGCAATGTACTGAAAACCCTAAAAAGTAATGATATCACAATACTCATGGGGGACTTCAATGCAAAAGTGGGAGAAGGAAGTGATGCTCCTGTAGTTGGAAACTTTGGCTTAGGAACCAGAAATGGTAAAGGTGACAGATTTTTAAGACTTCTGCAAGGAACATAAGCAATGTGTGATGAATACTTTTTTAAAGTTGCCAAAAAGACGCTTCTACACTTGGAGATCACCGGCAGATACACGAAATAATGTAGTAAGGAACCAAATTGATTATTTTACAATAAACAAAAGATTTAGAAACTCAGTAAAATCAGTAAAGACATACCCAGTTTCAGATGTACCATCCAATCATAATCTATTACTTGCTGAAGTCCAGCTGAAACTAAAAAGGATGAAAAACCCGAACCCTGCTAAACCAAGAACTGACAGAGACTTCATCATTAAACATGGACGTAAGATTAAAGAAGAACTAGAAAATCATTTAAGGGAAACCAACAACCTGAATGATGATGTAGAAGCAAACTGGAATAAATTTAAAAATGCAATAGTAGAGGTAACAAATTCAAAACAGAGAGAGGGGTACCACAAGAAACAACAGTGGATGATGGAGGAAATTCTTCATCTAATGGATGAAAGAAGATCTTATAAAAATAAAAACAAACAAAAATACAATGAATTGCAGAAAACAATTAGAAGAAAAATTCAACTGGCAAAAGAAAAGTGGTTTGCAAAGAGATGCAATGAAATAGAAGAGACAGAACGTATGCATGATAATTTTAATTTACACAAAAAAGTGAAAAAAGCAGCAGGCCTCTACAAAAAGAAAACCAACAACTTAGTTGACAGAGAGGGGGAAATTATCTTAGATGAGGATGAAAAACTAAAAAGATGGAAGGAATATATTGAAGAACTTTTTGAGGACACTGGGGATGATATAGATATGGGAAGTACAGTATAACAACTGTACCAAATATCACTATGGAGGAGGTTGAGCATGCAATAAAAATAGCAAAAAAAAAGAAAAGCCACAGGACCTGATGATATCCCAGTAGAAATTTTAAAATTGCTGGAAGACAATGGGAAGAATTTTTTACTGCAGCTCTTCAATCGGATATATGAAACAGGAAAGATACCTAATGATTGGCTAAAATCAACCTTTGTGACAATCTCCAAAAAAATAAATGCAAAGAAGTGTACCGAATACAGAACAATAAGCTTAATGAGTCATGCCCTGAAAATATTCCTGAGAATAATTCACACAAGAATATACAACAAAATTGAAGAGCGTCTAGGTAACACACAATTTGGTTTCAGAAACAATCTTGGTACACGAGATTCGCTATTCAGCATTCAAGTTCTTGTACAGCATTGTAGAGATGTCAATCACAGTGTTTAATGTGCTTCATTGATTTTGAAAAAGCTTTTGATAAAATAAGACACAGCAAACTATTAGAAATCCTGAAACAAGGGAGACTAGATGACAAAGACATCCAAATCATAAAGAATCTGTATTGGCGTCAGGTAGCAAATGTGAGACTAGGCCAAAAATACTCAGCTGATGCAGAAATAAGAAGACTGAAAATCAGGCTTGTCAGATGCTATATTTTTTCTATCCTGCTCTATGGAGTAGAGAGTTGGTCTCTGACAGAAGGCCACCTGAAGAGACTAGAAGCATTTGAAATGTGGATTTACAGGCGGCTGTTACGTATAAGCTGGGTTGACAAGATCAGAAATGAGGTGATAAGCCGCCCGAGAAAGCCAAGGGAAATCATCAAAACAATTAAAAAACGAAAATTAGAATATTTCGGACATGTGATGCGACACCCAGAAAAATACGGCATGCTCCATTTAATCCTTCAGGGAAAGATTGAAGGCAAATTAGGTCCAGGCAGAAGAAGAACATCATGGCTTCAAAATCTAAGGGACTGGTTTGGACAAAACTCAGCATTTTTTCGTGCGGCTCCTGATAAAAACAGGATCGCCAACATCCGATAACGGTTATGGCACAAGAAGAAGAAGATTGCCTAAAAGAGACTTGGCTTGAAGTCCAGACTATAGATAAGACTTTTGCAATCTTGGCAGATATCAGCTGTGAGAAGCCCAGCTGTGTTCTATGCTCAGTGACAAAATTATTTTCATTCTCTGATTGTAAAGCTTTTAATTTAACACACCACTAAGAGAACATGGATGAAGATCAGGAACAGATTCTCTTTATGTTGAAAGCAATTTATGAAACTATTCTTACAGCTACTGATGAAATAAGAAGCTACAGAAAAGAACAAGATGTCAGCCTAGATCAGGCGTAGGCAACCTTGGCTCTTTTATGACTCCTTTGTCTTCAACTCCCAGAATTCCTGAGCCAGCATGGTTGCCTACCCCTGGCCTAGATATACGAACTCAAACTTTGATTACATGATTACAACTAAAGAATCAACTACACAGAATATAATAGAAGAAGTGGAACAATCAAATACTATGATAGAAGATTCAACTGATCAACAAACAGTTAACGGAAAACCCAGAAAAGGGACTGACAACACTGAAAATGAAAAAGACTTTCTATATAAACCAGAAGAAACCTGAAGATCAAGAAGAAGAACAGACCGAAGGGAAGATAAACATTTCAGGACAAGTACGTCAAGATGGAAAAATAGAGACGATTTGTTAGCCGTTCCAAAAAAATGGCGACTGGGTGGCCTTTTTTATCTCAAACAATATATATAATAACAGAGGGAGATCTATTTGATGATTTAAAAGCACGGATATGGAAGGCGAGTTGGCAAAGAAAGAAAAATGTCGGTTACACAATTATGTTTACAAATGATTCAATGTCAACTGTCGAAACTGCCCTGGAACAGGCTCTGTCCATTATTTGGGGTAGTGTAAAATAAAATCCTTTTGCATTCGTAATCTGAAAAATGGAGATTTCACTGTACACTTTTACAGTGTGATCCCAGAAAATTCTACTTTCAACTGTCACATCCAGAAATACTTACTTTGTTTCAGGGTGTTTATCTTTAAAATTCACTGACATATTCTAAAGATGGTTTACAAAAATCCCAACCAGGATAATTAAAAATAATCGACATAAGCAACAAGTCGAGGAGAAGGAGGAGCCATACTGAATAACCACTCAATTTTGATAAGTTTAATGGCCTGAGAAAATATAAAGATCTTCTTAGCGAAAACATAGAACTATTTCACAATCCCTGGTTACTCTCAAATGAGAGTTGAACCCTGTAACTCAAAAACAAATTCATCATGTTTTCAAATATTCTACTAGATTACCAGTAGATCAATATAGATAAGACAGGACAGGACAAGACAAGACAAGACAATCTTTATTGTCATTTTTTTACTGTGGGCACAATGGCACCATCAAAAATAAAATATATAATGGAAGGAGGAAGCTTGAGAGTTCACAAGGTTAACGCTGTATGGAATGAAACTCTGGATGAATCTGGATGTTCTGCTTCGGATACCACGAAGCCTCCTCCCAGAAGGTAACAAGGAAAACAGGTCGTGAAGAGGATGTGTAGTGTCCCAGATAATCTTACGGACCCTGCTCAAGCAGCACTTCTGTGCTATGTCCTGGATGGGAGGGAGGGAACTGCCAATGATCTTTTTGGCCATCCTCACCACTCTCTGCACTGCCTTCCTGTCTGAAGCAGTGATGCTTCCAAACCAGACTGTGATGCTGAATGACAGGATGCTGTTGATCGTCCCCCTGTAAAAAGTGGTCAGGACAGAAGGAAGATGTGCTTTTCTCATGCGACACAGAAAATGCAAGTGCTGCTGTGCCTGCTTCACCAGTTTCTCACTTTTGAGCGACCAAGCCAGCCTACTCATTAGCTGCACACCCAGGAATTTGATGCTGGCAACCATCTCCACAGGTGAATCATTAATGCACAGAGAAGTGTCTACTAAATGCTGGGGAATGATTGTGTTAAACGCTGAACTGAAGTCGACAAACAACAAACGCATGTGAGTATTTCTTTCCTCTAAGTCAGTGGTTCTCAACCTTTTTAATGCCGCGACCCCAACCGGTCGTAAGTTGAGAACTAAACCGGTCGTAAGTCGAGGACTAAACCGGTCATAAGTCGAGGACTACCCAACCGGTCGTAAGTCGAGGACTTTCCCTGCCCGGGAGCGCCGCACATGCGTGGTTCCGCCCCCTGCACCGGCCGAGGCGTAGCTGGCAAGCGGCAGAGACGGAGCAGGCCGACCACCAGCTGGCCCAGCCCAAGGGAGGTAAGGCACTCACCGGAAAAGGGGGAAAAAAATGGCGGACAAAACAAATGGGAGACAAAAAAAATGGCGGACAGCCTTGCTTGGCGACCCCCGTGAAATGGTCGATCGACCCCAAATGGGGTCCCGACCCACAGGTTGAGAACCACTGCTCTAAGTGCTTCAAGCTCAGATGGAGAACGGAAGAAATAGCATCCTCCATAGAGTGATTTGGTCGTTAGACAAACTGAAGCAGGTCAAATGCTGGTGGGAGGCTAGATACAACAATGTCCTTTATCAGCTTCTCAAAGCAGGTGCATCCAGCAGTCTATGCAGAAAATTGTAGCTTTACACTACACCTTTTTTTTTTACACTTTACAATTACACTACCTAGTTAGGTCTAATTTTTAGTACCGTATATGCAGTTTGTGATTAGATTTGTACACTGGCGATTCACACTTTTGCAGATTAACTACAGGCAACATCAACACAACACAGCTATAATCTTTGCACTAGGCAAAACAACTTTAAAGAGGGGCAACAAAGAAAATAAAAGAGGTTATTTTAATGAATACTCTACACTATTAGTCTAATTTCTTCCTCTCTAAAGTTTTTTTTTTTTTTTAATAACTTGGAACTGTGTGTCTCACTATTAGTAGCATGATAAGCTTTCCTTCCCATATAAATAGTGTGGGGAAGAAAGTGTGACGCCTTTAAGAAAGATCTCCACCCAGGACAGGCTGTTCCATTTTTTGAACCATATTAAATGCAATAATCACAGCAGCAACATAGGCTTGTCATATCTTTAAGAAAGAAGCTGAACTGCTTTCAACTGCCAAGATTTCCACTGGTCTCAACTTATCTCAACCAAGCTAGGGAAGGCTACAAAAAGAGAAGTTGAATCCGATACTTGGGACTTTGCACTCATTTTTCAATGGAAGCACAATCCATTGCTCTAAGAATAACACAAGCTAGGTGTTATAATTCTTTCTGCCAATTGTGCCTGATACACAATACATACAGGTCTGTTAACCTATTTGTATGTATGTATTAAGTCTGTTAACAGAGCTGTGTGACTTTTTTCTTTCCTAAACATAACAGCCTCCAGGTAAGGTAAGGAGACGGTAGAAGTTGTAATTAGAAATCCTCCAGGTTTTCTGAGCTTGGTTTGTTTATGTCAGACATTTCATTACCCAAATAGATAGTAACATCAGTGTAGTAGGGATGTTTCCTAGTGGGGTAATGAAATGTCTGTAAGTGAACAACCAAGCCCAGAGATCACCAAGGACTCCACAGTTCAATCCTGAACTCTTATATTTTCTTCTATTGGAAGTTGTAATGCAGTATAGCTCTGTGACGTGGGAACGGATTTTGAGGGGCTGTTTTCATAAAAATATGCCTAGGGAGTTATTTGGTTTCACTGACACAGGGTTGTGTTAGAAATTCTGTTTTGTCCTTTTTTCATCCTCTTCTTCTTGCTGTCCTGGCTGCCCACAGAGCTGCTGCTGCTGCTGTGACTTCTGGCAGTTCCAGTGCCAGCCCTCTCCAAAGGGCTGGCACTGGAACTGCTGGGGGTCTGGCTGGGCTGGGGGACGGCTGGGGATGGCTGGGGGACGGCTGGGGGACTGGCTGGGCTGGGGACAGCTGGGGGACGGCTGGGCTGGGGGACGGCTGCAGTATCTTTTGGATTCTCCTTCCCGTCTCTGGGTTTTAATGCTTCCCGAGCAACCTTGGACAGACGTTTGGCTGGGATGCCTTTATTACTTCTGTTGTATCTCCTATTGAAACCTCTTGTGGCCTGATTTCTTCTTTTATAACATTTGGACAGTCTTTCTCAGTTAATTTCTTTATTATGTCAGGACTTCTGTGTCCAAATTGTCTGTGCCATGTGTGAATGCAGTTTGAATGTTTTTCCTCCTTGGTAGTATTAACCATCTGATTGCAGTTCAGCTGATGCACTTTATCTTGTAATTTTAACTCTTCCAAGTAAGGTATCTCCTTTTGTGATAATACAATTGTCCCCTTTAAAGGTCACCACATTGCCTTGTTTTGTGACCTTCTTCACTGACAAAATAATAGTTTCAAGATAGTTTTTCACAAATATCTTTCTGGGGATACTCTGAGAAATAGGACAGTAAAGAAAATCCTCTTCTATTCTTTCTGATTCTATTCTTTGCCCACTATCTGTGGTGATTTTTTCTGTTTTACTCTGGTCAACGTAAGTAAAGAATTTGGATGAGGGGATAGATGAGGAACTCATCAAATTTGCAGATGCCACCAAGCTGGCAGGAATAACCAACACTCCAGAAGATAGGCTTAAGATACAGGAGGATCTGGACAGACTTGAACACTGGGCAATATCTAACAAAATGAAATTCAATGGTGAAAAAAGCAAGTTCTACATTTAGGCAAGAAAAACCAAATGTACAGGTATAGTATAGGGGGTACCTTGCTCAATAGTAGTAACTGTGAGAGGGATCTTGGAGTCCCAGTGGACAATCACTTAAATATGATCCAGCAGTGTGCTGCAGCTTCCAAAAAAGCCAACACAGTGCTAGGCTGCATTAACAGAGGGATAGAATCAAGATCACGTGAAGTGTTAATACAGTATCACTTTACAATGCCTTGGTAAGGCCACACTTGGAATACTGTACTGCATCCAGTTTTGGTCACCACGATGTAAAAAAGATGTCGAGACTATAGAAAGAGTAGAGAGAAGAGCAACAAAGATGATTAGAGGACTGGAGGCTAAAACATATAAGGAACGGTTGCTGGAACTGGGTATGTCTAGTCTAATGAAGAGAAGGACGAGGGGGAACATAATAGCAGTGTTCCAATATCTCAGGGGCTGCCAGAAAGAAGAGGGAGTCAAGCTATTCTCCAAAGCACCTGAAGGCAGGGCAAGAAGCAACAGATGGAAACTAACCAAAGAGAGAAGCAACCTAGAACTAAGGAGAAACTTCCTGATAGTTAGAGCAATTAACCAGTGGAACAACCTGCCTCCAGAAGCGGTGAATGCTCCAACACTGGAAATTTTTAAGAAGAAACTGGACAGGCATTTGTCTGAAATGGTATAGGGTTACCTGCCTGAGCAGGGGGATGGACTGGATGACCTCCAAGGTCCCTTCCAACTTTATTATTAACAGGTTGGTTAATAATACAGGACAGTCCGTGATCTTTTACCAATTTTCTATTATAACGTATTTGGGTCTGATTTTGTTTTCTCAAATCTTAAAGCAGTTTGGCAACTTTAAGCACGCATTAAGGCAGAGGCCTTGTCTGCCTACACGGTTGCGTGTTTAGAAAAAAAAGCAACGCTGGCTGCCAGACCCAGCTATGCTTTAATGAGCGACGTATATTCGGAATGAGGTCCCCCGTCTTTTACGCGATAGGATCGCTCGCCTATTACGGCGCACCGGGCTGTGCACCAGTCTCGCCATCTTTAACCCTTTAATGCCGAGGGAATTGATATGAAAGGGCCTCCAGTTCTTGCACTCCATCCAGCAGCACCGCCAAGCACTGCCTCGCTTTGCACCCGCTGCCAAACTCAGGAGACATGGCCAGCATGGCCGCCCGGAAGAAAAACTCAGGGAACCGGGAATCGGCTCCGCCGAGGAAGCTCCCCGGCCACGGCCCGGCTTCCAATGAAGGATTGCCAATGGCTGCCGGGCCTCGGGGGTCCCAGAGTCCTTTACTCCCCGAGGAAAACTCACGTACTGCTAATCCGCCTAGCCAGTGGCGCAGCGCCCGCTCCAGCATCCCTCTCAGTCCCATCCATTTGCTTCCTCCTTGTCGCTGCAGCGGCTGCTGTGGCTTCCTAACCGTAGCCAAGCCAACCTCCCCGCTCCCTGTTTTGCATTACGGAGACCTCGTTAGAGTTGCCCGCCGTGCCCACCCTGCTCCGGCAATCTACCTGAGCGCTGCAGCGACTTCGGCCTCAAGAATAACCTGCTCCCCGGGCGCTTCCTTCGGCCGGTCTTTTTCTGCTTCGCGGTGTATTAAAGGCAAGGCTGGCGTGTGGTTCCTCCGACAGAAAAAGGCGAGTGGGTTGGCTAAAGACGGAGATGGACGTGCTGAGGTAGCGCATCGGGCATCAGGGCGATAATTAATTACGACGATCTCAAAGCCAATTCCCGCCTCTCTTCCTTTGTTAGACTATCGTCCAAAAGAAATCCAGATGGGCTTGCCTTTGAGTAAAATCCAAAGGTAGCCTGGCAGCTTTTAACACGAGAGTCCAAATCCGGGTCCTCTTGCTTATTTCGCCACACGTAAGATAAAGCAAAGAGCTTACCACGAATAATTGTAATGGAAGTCAGAAGCTAGAAATGGGACATGTTAAAGCTGCGGTCCCGTTCTCGTGGGGCTTGAAGAGTTGCACTGATTTTCAATGCAAAATCTTAGGCTTGTCTTCTCAGAAGTCCCGCTGAATTCAGTTGGGCTTGCCCGAGGGCAGGGGGTCGGCAACCTTAAACACTCAAAAGAGCCATTTGGACCCGTTTCCCACAGAAAAGAAAACACTGGGAGCCACAAAACCCTTTTGACATCTAAAATGAAGATAACACTGCATATATCGCTTTTTACCTTTATGCTATGTATTAAAAAACCATAGTGTGTTGCATTTATGAAATCAATGAACTGCTACAAAGAAAACAATTTTTTATTTCTGCATGCAACAAAAACATTTTGAACTCCCCCCCCCCCCAAAAAAAAGATGCTGGGTCGAAGGTTATTTTCAAAATAAAATACTCAATGTCTATTTGAGTCCTCCTCATTATTTATGAAATAAAAAGCCGATGCAAGCTATAAAAACTACAAATAGAAAAATAGAAAAGAAAAAAATTGCGGGGCTCGGGGAGAAAAGGACAGGAGAAAGAAAGAAAAAAACAAATCTTTCTCCTTCATGCCAACAGGTAAAAACAATTTTAGTAGCTTATCTACCATCTTTAAATACGGCATAATTATCTCCATTCCTCATCTCTTAATTAAAAAAACATTAAAATATTTCATTAAATGTTCTTTACTAAAGGTCCAGTAAGGACTACATATATTCATATATCTCTCTCCCTGCCCCTCTCTCTCCCTGCCTCTCTCTCTCCCTCCCTTCCTCCTTCTGTCCCTCTCCCTCCCTTCCTCTTTCCCCCTCTCTCTCTCCTCCATCCTCTCTCTCCCTCCCTCTGTCTCTCTCCTTCCCTCTTCCTTCCTCCCTCCCTTCCTCCTTCCCTCTCTCTCTCTCCCTCTCTCTCCCTCTCTCTCCCTATCCCTCTCTCTCTTTCTGCCCATTCATTCATTAATCCAATCTGAGCGCCCGCATGTGCCCACACAGACTTTTCTATCTTGGTCTCACGGGGATCGAGAGGAAGAGGAACCGGCCTGAACGGAATGGGACAAATGAACATGGCTGCCTTAAGACACCCGCTGCATCTCAGGCACCCCACCACAGCTGACACACCACTGACATTCTTATACGGCTGGGTCTCTACCAGTGCTCGTGGTCTGCCAGTCCTCTTCCCCCAGTCAGTGTGTTTGTGTGTGTGTGTGAGAGAGAGAGAGGCACTTGCGCTTCTCTCTCCCCCCCCCTCTCTCTCTTGGGGGACTTTAAGGCTGCAGACCTTCTGGACCTCTGTCTTCTTGCAGGTTCCAACCAACTGCTTTGTATTTCGCCGAGGTCCCCAGGCTGTAACCAAAATAGCTGCGATCAGAATACGCAGATAAAGCAGTGTTACACTGGCATTGAAGGCAAGCGGAGGCAGCGGACGGAGCAGGCAGGGCTCACACCCAACATCGAGCCTGGGACCCAGGGCAGCTCCTTCGGACTAACAGATTGCCTGCTAGCTAAGCATTCGGACCTGGCAGCCTGGCAAGCAAGTCTAACTGCATACTGCGGTTGAGCTGCTGACAAAAAGGCCACCCCCATTTCTCCTCTGTCGCTTGCCCTTCCCTGGATGGCCTCGCATGCTCTCTTGCTCGCCTCCTGTGGTGTCCCGACTGCGGGAGATGGAGGAGCCCCGCTGGGTGGAGGCACTGCCAAAGAAGCGGGACCCAGGTGAGGGGGAGCAAGGGAAAGGCAAGCGGGCCGTGGAGGGAGCAGGTACCGCGGACATCGCACCGCTAGCAGAAGGCGGCTCTCCTGCAAGCGGCAGAGGAGACATGGGAGTGGCTTTTTTGGCAGCAGCTCGGCCACGGCATGCAGTCAGACTTGCTCGCCAGGCTGCCAGCTCCAAGTGCTTAGCTAGCAGACAGTCTGTTATTCCGAAGGAGCTGCCCCAGGTCCCAGGCTAGACATTGGGATTGAGCCTGCCTGCCTGCCTGCTCCATTCGCTGCCTCTGCTTGCCTTCAATGCCAGTGTAACGCTGCTTTATCTACGCATTCCAATCGCAGCTATTTTGGCTATAGCCCGGGGACCTTGGAGAGATACAAAGCAGTTGGTTGGAACCTGCAAGAAGACAGATGTCCAGAAGGTCCGCAGCCTTAAAGCCCCAGAGAGAGAGGGGGGGGAAGTGAAAGTGAAAGTGGCTCTCTCTCTGTCTCTCTCTCTGAAAATGGCGGAGGAGGACTGGGAGCCGCAGTAGAAGGCTGAAAGAGCCACATACGGCTCCAGAGCCGCGGGTTGCCGACCCGTGCCCAAGGGGAATGGGGCCCGAAAGTGCAGCGCTAATTTGAAGCATTTTGCTTCAATCAGATGAAAAACAGAAAAAAATAGTTTGAAGTGGAATATCACAGACTCGGCATGGCAGGTCCCCGACATCCTTCAAGGGAAAAAGGAGTATTGTTTTTAAAACCACGATGATGGCTTTAAAATGTGTTTCAGAGCCATAATGATGGCCTTGAAACTGTTGTATGGTTTACCTGTCTTCAATATGTTGGGGATATCTTTGAACTAATGTATGAAAAATAATGGAGATAAGGAGATAAGAATCAATGGGATAAAATTTAAGCTAGCTTTTAGTGACTTTTCCATAGTCCTCTGTTAAAAAATATTTTTAACATGCTAAAAAATACAAGCATCTCATCCTATAAATGTGCAAACATATTTCTTATGAAAAATGGAAAAAAACCCGAGATGTAGTTTGGTTTTTTGGCTAAGGCAGCTTTTTGAATCCCAAACATTAGAAAATCATCTTTAGTAACCAAATGAAGCTGCTAGTTGGACAACCAACAAAAATGGCACAGTTTACATATATATCTTTTAGAATTGGCTTTTCTACTGAAACAACAACAACAACAACAACAACAATAATAATAATAGAGTTGGAGTGAGGAAAGGTAAGGCTCAAAATGAACTAAGGCTTTCAACAAAAGTCAAAAATAACAAAAAAAAGCTTCTTTCAATATGTAAAAAACAAGAAAAAATTTAAGGAAATGATTGGTCCACTAGTGGGAGAAAGTGGCACGAAGGTGACAAGCAACAGGGAGAAAGCAGAACTACTCAACTCATTTTTTGCATCCATATTTACACAAAGGGGAAAAAACAGTCCAACCTATCAAAAACAGTACTGTAAAAAACAGATTAGAAACACAAATTAAGATAGGCAAGAAAATGGTAAGTGAGCACCTGCCCACCCTAAATGAGTTCAAATCACCAAGACCAGATGGACTACACCCCAAGGTTCTGAAGGATCTGGCAGATGTGATCTCAGAACCCCTGAACTATATCTTTCAAAGATCCTGGAGCACTGGGGAACTACCAGAGGACTGGAAAAGGGCTGAAGTAGTTCCCATCTTCAAAAAGGGGAGGGGGGAATGGATCCAGGAAACTACAGACCTATCAGCCTGACCTCAATACCTGGGAAGATCTTGGAAAAGATAATCAATCAATGAATCAGCAAACACCTATGGGCAAACAAAGTCATTACAAAAGCCAACATGGGTTTCTCAAAAACAGATCATGCCAGATAAATCTTATTGCATTCTTTGACCAGGTGACAAAATTAGTGGACTGTAGTTTCCTGGATCCTTCCCCCCCCCCCCCCGTTTGTTTTTTTTTTTGAAGATGGGAACTACATCAGCTCTTTTCCAATCCTCTGGTAGTTCCCCAGAAACTGTTTTATAGTTTTTCTCTTTTTCTCAGCTCAAAACAATAGGAAGCTCCTATCAGAGCTTTGAGGCTGCAGAGAGGACCAGAATTAAAGAAAAGTACTTTAGCTGGTTTTGTCCTAAATACTTAAAAGCCTTCAGCAAAAGAGGTCTCCTCTTATTATATTTTTCTCTAATCTACATTTTCCCCCCGGAAAGATTTCTCACACTTAACTTCAAAATATTCATATGTTTTAAATAGGATTTTAAACAGGAAATGTTCTTAGTTCAAAATCTTATTTCCAATCAAGCTGACCCTTGGTCTGTTTAAAACACTCTGAAATTAATGCTTCTTTCCAAACAATAGATTTTTCTTTAAGTTCTTAAACTGACATGAAACCTCTTTCCATGAGAATTGAAGGAAAATCACCAATGTAATAAAACTTATCCTTCTCAAGGTTCTTGGTATCCAGAAAAGCAATTTACAAGCCATATCAGTGAAAATTATTAAGACAAGAAGTGAACTAAAGGCTCCGAATGCAATTTGGGCAAGACTTCCAGAGCTGTAAAACCCGCCAGAAATTGCTGTCTTATGGTCTCATCGTGGGGAGTATCTGTATGGAGAACTATGGGGGATCCCAGGTCCTCCCCTTAATCTGGAGAGGAGTTTAAGGCGCCAATTCATTCACTGGCTCTTCCTTCTGCCTTGGTCGTCAGCCCATTCTTCAATTTGCCATTGCTTTCCTGCTTCCCTTTACTAGAGTTTTGTACAGTATTCCAAATGCTATATAAAATATTATAGGAAATAAAAATGTATTTCAGCTTTGGTTGATGAAAATAACTCTGAGCTTTTCTACAGGATTGTTCCCATCTTCCCATTTGAATGGCTTGGGTATTTATGGTATGATAAAGTAAATGTTGATTTTAATAATCATTTTATTAGACGTGCCGTATTAAGAGTTTGTAATAAATATAAAACAAGTTTTAAGAAAGCTTTTTTTAGAAAAGAAATGGTGATGAAGCCGTATGGTAAAAGATGTATGGTAAAATAGTATCTTTCAATTCTGGAGACCCCATCCTCAAGTTAGGGAAGAATTAGAATTAGAAGGTCA